AGATTAAAGTACAAATGATAGAAAGCTATTATGGAATGCAGCACACCGACTACTAATTATAAAACTATCTAATCAATTACCCTTACATAGATAGAAATGATCTGAATAACACAACAAGAAGGTGTGCCCATAAAGGCGTGTGCGTTCAGTGAAGGCGTGGGTATTTTTGTGGAATTTTTGCGTAATCATTTTTCATGTGTGTACAAAAGCTAGAAAATCGTTGGAGAGCAGGATCGCAGGTCAGTAACATCAGGACCTTCTCCTGAGCAAAGGGGGTCTGTCTGAATCAAAGATTAACTGTCAGCCATTAGTGAGAGCCAATCAGGACTCAGACATGCCTCAGAGGGGGTCAGGTGTTCTGGTGACCGCACAGCAAGACCATCACTCCATCAGGTCATCAGTTAACCGTTGAACCCCACAGGAAGACTTGGGGAATGGAGAAAAAAGATTTACTCTCTCTTGCCCCTTAATCATTGTACATGTTCGCTGAATCATTTGTCTGGAACACAAACACACCATAAATCTTCACACGACACACGCAAAGTGTTTCAGGTTTTATAACTTCACCTGTGATTTTAAGTTTAAACGTTAAAGGCTAATAATAATGTCAGTAAGTCAAATATTTCATTATGTAAAATAAATGAAATTAACTCGTATTGAAGGGGCATTATACTTTCCAACACCCTCATCCCCTGCTTGAAGACGTGAAAATCTCTTAAAATGGATCACAAATATATATTCTCATTTTCTAAAAAAAAAAGACTCAGTAAATTCCTTAAGCAGCTGGGAATTGTAGTCTACAGCAAACTAAACTCAAACAGGTGTAAATTGTGCATTTCTTAGGGACTGTTTTCAACAGTTTGTTGTGCTATGAGTATTTCTGGCAGCAGGACAGTTCTTGTTTGATTTACACGAAATAAACTACAGTGACCATGTTTATCTTAACAATATCAGGAGGAATACTCTCTGTTATACTTATTAGTTAGATCAATGCAGTGTTAGTTTGGGTCTTTTTAATGGGATTTGTTGACAATGAGAAAAAACTATTTTAAAATTGATGTAAAGTAAACAGGTACAGACAGTGTGTGTTACATACATTGTAGCTGGAAATCATACATTACCAACTTTTATATTTAACGCTGTAACTCTGCCTTTGACATTGGGTGTAAGCTGAAACACACTTACTTAGAACTAAATCATAAGTAATCACATTAGAGAGTGCCTATTAGACTTTGTTGGTTATCTCTGATAAGCTGGTTCTCTATTAAGGCCAGGGTCACACACACACACACA